GCTTGTGCCCCCCCCCCCCCCCCCCATAATGCACTAAAGTAAATCCAGACCTTAAGGAATAACTTGCATAGTAAGAAAAGGTCATCAATTTAATCATTTACTTTAAGCAGGCAAGCAAATTTGTAAACATTCAAAAGCGGCAGCATCCAAGTTACAAACAATTTAAGGAAAAAAGAATTGAGATTATTAAGGTTCTTTATCCTCTCAAAAATTTTGGAAATTATCTTTTAAAACACTGCAAACATCGAACACTCGGTTACACCTCTTCTAATCCTGCTAGCAGTCCTGCCTCCCAAGGAATTCTGCTTTCTAAAATGCATGGTCTCACAATTGCCATACTTTTTAGCATTTGCCATTTGGAAGTCAGCTACCGGAGCACTTCACCTCAGCCTAAATCCCGTTAGCAAAGGGAATGCTTGTGTCTTGATTCAACACCTCTTTAACTTCCGAGGGCAAAGCGTCAAAGAGGTGATCTTCCACCACGAGCCCGCTTTTCCTGAGAAGCTGACACTGCCCCAGTGTAGCTGGCAGACGGTCCAAGCAGTTTCCCTTCAGTTCCAGGTGAGTCAGCTGAAACAGGTGACTAACTTTATCTGGGATTGAGGTAATACAGTTTTGTCCCAGACTCAAAGTCCTCAATTTAACACATTTAAACAACTGTTTTGGCAAAATGTCGATTTTGTTTCCTGTGATGTGAAAATGCTGCAGATTTTGAAGCAACCCTATTTCCACTGGGATCAACGCGATCGAGTTGTAGCTTACATCTAAACACCTAAGTTTCTGTAAACTGAACACTGCGGCTGGTAAGGATTCGAGTTTGTTATTGGAGAGATAAAGAGACTCCAAATTCTTTATGTGGGTAATGGAGGAGGGAATGTTGACTATTTTATTGTGCCACAGCTTTAAACAAGTCAATCTTTTTAAGTGCTGGAAACTGATGATTTCTTCAATTGTGCGTATGCTATTTGACTTTAAATCCAGTTCCTGTAAGTTAGAGAGGCTGAAGATGGCGTGGGGAATTCTCTCCAGTTCACAGTTCTGCAGTTCCAACTCCGCAACATTAGTCATTTTCTTAAGGCTATTGAGTACCACAAGCTTAGTGCCGTCATTATGAATGACTAGTTTTGTCAGATGTGGTGCCACATCTGTGATATTGGGGGGAATTTTGGTCAAATTGCTCTTCACATGGAGAATTTTAAGGTGTCTCAACTCTCTGAGAGATTCAAGCCCTATCATTTTATTGTTTTCAGAGTTCAAGTTGCCTACCAAGTACAATTCACGGAGGTTTTTGAGCAAATACACCCACGCAGGAATTTCTGCAACATCTGTGAATTTCACATGAAGGCATCTCAAGTGGTCCCGGAGGAAGCTGAAGGCAGTCTGCTCGACCTTCGCAGGGCAGTGGCACAGATGAAGCTCCTGAAGATTTGTCATCTGGGAAATTTTCGCTGGGATTTTCGCTTCAGGAATCAGCTCCAGTTTCAACACATCCAGATCAGTCAGATCAAACACTGCATCAGGGACCCCCGACAGCATGAAGAGATGCAACTCTTGCTTGTCCTGGGCGTTGCGGGAAACGTGTTGCCGCAGCTTTTCAAAAGTCCACTCGTGGTTTAAACTAATCTCCCGTAGCTTGTTCTCACTTACCTCTGACAAAAAGACGCCAAATCGCTTCGAATACAGCTGGTCATACTGATCTACCATATGCAAGAGAAAGGCAAAATCATTTTTGACATCAGGGATATCACTGAAGCTACTCTCTTCTCTGACCTTTTCAAAGGAATATTCTTTTAAAGGTATTCGGAACAGCCAGAAAAGTGTGTAGAGGCAGATAAAACCATAGACGCAAATGAGGGAAATATAGCTGATAAGCAGCTTCTTCAACATGTAAGCCATGTTGTGTGTACATTCAAAATGTGTGTAGCCAATCAGGTGTTCCACTTTTGGGTTGCAGATGTGTTCAAAACTAATGGTGTTGACAAAGTTTGCGGTATAGCAGAGAATAAATACGAACTTGACAGTCTTGATGACAGTCTGGCCAACGTAGAGCTTGTAAATCAGGTCACTGTCCTCCACGTGAGCCCGGAACTTACGGACCTTCTCAAACAGCGCTTTGGCTTGCTCTCCATCTTTCTTATCTAAAATAGTAACGCTGGGAACCTCGATCATCGGCTTGTCAGCCGAAAATTTGAAGCCAGACTTTGTTATCATGGGAGTGCTGGCACTTGGGCTTCCTTCATCGCTGCTGGTGGAAACATACTTGGGCAGGGACTGGGCCCCAGTTAACCTCTGTTTGTTCTCCTCAGAGTCCTCACATGCCGTTTCAGACAACGCTTTTGTAGTCCAAGGGGACTCAAAGCACTTCCCTAGTATAGACACAAAATGCTCAATTTTTGAACAAGTCTTGGGATACTTGAACCAAAAATTGCTACTGACTATTAAAATGATAGTATGGATGAGAACAAGATAGGGAAAATACTTTGAATACCAAGGAAGAGCCAAATGATAGCACATCTGGTTAATAAATACGTATTGCTGAAAATCCAAATTTGTTTTACGGCCTGAAGAATCTTGCTGCTCCTTCTTCGGCTCCCGGCCTGATTCAGTGGGTTGATACTGAGAAGAGGTAGCTCTGCTCAGAGGTACGTCAGGTGTTACAGTAGGGGCACTTCCGAAGGAAACCGTTCTCATTGATGCTGCTTCTCCTTGACCAGTGGTTGTTTCAACAGTGGTAAAGTCAGCCTTCCCTGACGTGCCGGGTTGTGCTTTTGAATTTACAGTAGGCTGCAAAACTGGCAAGCAGACCACCTGGTCTTTGGTCAGCTGCATGGTTCCAGCAAAAATGGCAACCATTAACATAACAAGAGCTAGATAATCCATGAATACATCCCACCATGGTTTCAAGATACGGTAAGTTGGCTGGATGTCATTGAGCGATGCAACTTCTGCAAGGGTAAACATTCCTACAAGAGAACAAAGACAAAATCAGTATTGTTGACTGGTGCACAGGTTATTTCATCATTTACTAACAGTCACACCATGACATACAGATCCTCAGAAGGTTCCGGTTTTCATTAGGTTTTGTTGCCTGTCACACATTGTCCGGCATTCCACTCGCCACCGTTTTCTCAAAGGATACGTACTGAAATGATGCATTACTTTAGCATCAAAACAGAAGTCTTCTCACTTCAGGCCAGACGATATTTATGTATCTTTGCCACTTCACAGTACAAGCACCAAGGCCTGCTCTGTGCAACTGAAATACCCGACAGCTAAAGTGCTGTAGCTGATCTGTATCAATAACATGAACAGCAACAATTGATTACCCTGCACAAAATCTGATTCTGTAAAAACAACTGCTTGAGTCCGAACATGTGAAATCCAGCACCAACATTATTTTGTAGTACCTTCCATTTAAACAAAATAGCATTTGTTAAATGCTTTGCACCTTGCTCATGACTTGCACAGCATATTTTAGGTCTCTTGTTACGTTATGAGCAAGGTCTCTCATTTCATCGAACACAGTAACAGTCAACATCTCCCACTCCTTGCTATTGAACATCCACACTGCTTACCAGATTGATTGGCTCCTTTCCCTGAAATACCATGCACAAGTGAAAATCTTGCAGTTAGTACGTGAATATTCGGCACAAGTTTTAATGTGTTTGGATGTTTTGCAGTGAGAAACAGTTATCACCTATTCATTGGACCAAATGGTACCCTATAAATTTTTTTCCCAATGAATGAAGAAATAATCCTTCCTCAGAAAAATCCAACCCAGCTAACCAATAAAAAAAACCCCACAACTCTTTCTTCGCATAATGGGGAAAATATTGTTTTCAGATTATCATCACAGCCTGGTGATTATAGGAAGCTAGATAGTCCAGGTAGCACAGGAGCAGGGTGCGAGGCCTTCACTTAAATTTAAACATATGCACTGAGAGACAAAGTGGCAAACCGATCGTGTGAGAATCCAAACCTCTTTGCAGCTTTAAATAGCTTGCTTTACTTCTTGTTTTGACAAAAAAAATTTAGAGGACTCAACTTATCAGCTTTTTAAAAAATAAGCTTCCTGCACAAGCAGGATGTGGTAAAATCATCATTTTAACTGCTGAACTTGTGACCCAAATTTGCCATTTCCAAAGTAAAATACGCAGCTTGCGCGCATGCATGGAGTGGGGAAGGAGACAGGATGTACATTATCACACAGAGCCTGGCTCCTTTTGGTTGGGAGAAGAACGGCTTAGCAGAGCACAAGGAGATCAAAGCAGGCAGTACAAAGATGTATCAGAGTTTATTATTTTTAACTTGTAGCATACCGATTTGTACAGACCTGCACCTTACAAACCCTAAAGGACAGTGGCACAGGCAACGAATATACAACACGGTCGTTTGATTATTTCTAGCCTGCATTTCTCTAAAGAAGGTAACAGACATTTCCGTGCACAGAACTCAAGTACCAGCGACTGCCTCTGCGGTCAGGGGCATGCATTCGCCCTCTCCTTCCCCACACCAGGGCAAGCAGCTCCCATGGTCCCGGTCTGCGGGAAAAGGCCAGCGGTCGCCGTTCCAGAGCCCGGCATGGAGCTCACGATGAAAGCGTCTCCTCCAGCACAGGGATGGATCCAGCCCCTGGCCTCCCACGCTCTCCTCCCAGGAGCTTTCACCAGTTTTGCATACCTAGCCTGGGATTTGGTGAAGGCAGCCGGAGAGGAGAGGGTTTTATCTCACTGCAGCTCTCATCTCAGTTGGTGCTCTTGGCACAGTTGCCAAAATGTGAAAGTTAAGGCTCAGGGAATGCGCAGAAGGAACTTCCAGCTCTCTTTTTCTTTATTTTCCAGTGGGCAAACGAACGTCAAATACTCCTCCCTCATCAGTAACACAAGTTGTCGCAGTCTCACAGCTCTCCCAGCTCCACGAGAGCCTCCTCCCGGCAGCGTGGCTCCCGAGCCTCTCCCCACGCACATCCCCGCGGCTGTAGCTGCTACAGAAGTGCTGAAGGACAGAGCAGTAACGCACCCCACGGCTACCAAACCCTCGCGGCGCTTTACTTCAAGTTAGCTACGAACTCCCATTTTCATTAATGTCTCCCAGTGCTTACCCAGGCTGAGTCACAGCGTGACTGCTTGCCCTAGACTTGCTACCTTTGACATTTAAACAACAAGGATGTGCAAAAGAATAGCATTAATCATTTGTACTCATGTGAACAGATAGATATAAAAGGACCCTTCTTGCTCCTAAAGCACAACTGCCACAAAACCACAAAACAGCAGCAGGATTGGTTTGGTTTTTTTTTTTTTTCCCCCCCCGCGTAGATTTTTTTTTTTTTGTTTCTTGGAAGCTGTTTGGAAGGGATGCTCTCACGGGTCTCCAGGCTGTTTTCACTGTGGTCTCACCCACCTTGGCAGCCACAAGGACGCCTTGTCCACTAGGTTACGAGCGCAATAGTTTGACAGGAGAGCACAGAGCCAAATGCTTCGCAAGGACAAGTCATGGACACTCATGACAGCCGTGCCTCTGCACCCAGAGCTGCACAACGTGCAGGGAGACGGAGGCCAGCACGGATGGGAAGGAGGAACGAGATGAGTGCTGTAACAAACATGGGTAGCTGCTACTGCTCGTTCCTCTGGGGCTAGCCTTTCCCTTAACTTTGCACTAGCTAATTACGTGGGAAGTTACTTCATTGCGGTTTGGGGCGCAACCTGCAGAATTCCTTTCACAGAATGAAGGTGTTTTTTTTTTTTTTGCTTCTGCCATGAGAACATGGGGATAAAGCACCGAAACCCAAGCGCTGCAGACGTGGCTGCTCTAAGCAACTGAAATAATGGAAAAGAAATGAGAGCGCACAAAGTGGTTCCAGCTACAGACTTACAAAGAACAATAAAAAAAAGCTAAAGCTAAAAATCACCTCTACCAGACCTCTGTCTTGCACACACACAAAATGATTTCAAAAAAAGGTTAGGAGATGCAACAGAGCCTGTGTAATCCTCTTTGTGAGGCTGTAGGCAGCGCGGTGTAACAGGAGCTTTACACCGAGAAGTACCACATTCAATGCTCTGAACATGCCTTTTCTTTCAAGTTACTGATACTCACAGAAGAGCTGCTGTTTTGGCAGAGATTAGCAGTTATAAAACACAAAAAACCCCTCTGTGGCATTACTGTCTAGCACTGTGTCTCATAAAAAGAGGCAGACCTTTTTCTAGCTAGCAAAAATCAATTCCAGGAGCTGAAAACAGGTTTCTGTCCTCACATGTCTAAAGATATTTAAATGCTCCAAGTCTTAAAAACCAAAATGAAAAACTATAAACCTACACACGGTCTAAGACACATTCTGAATGACAGGCTGCAAATAAATTTGATATTTTCGCTCTTAAATCCATCATTTCATGGACTGGTGTTTGATTTTACTGAACTAATAACCATAGAAGTTAACTTTTATTTTATTTTTGCAGATGCTTCGAAATCAAACTATTAAGAGGTACTCAGAACAACAGGTCTCTACAGTATTGTAATGGTTTTGGCTTTTCTTTATTCCACAGTTAAATTTAAACCATTTAAAGCTTTTAAAACCTGCTTTTAAAGCCTACTGTCCAGTATATTCCTTGGAGCAGGCAGATAGTATTTTCATTGCTAATTTTCACCTCCTTTTAAGGGTGCCAGATTGGGGTTGGGGTTTCATGATAAGCTGCAGTGATGACATGGTATTCCTTCTCTTTTTTTTTTTTTAAAAAAAAAAAAAAAAAAAAAAAAAAAGAGAGGAGGGGGGGGGGGGGGGGGAAAGACACACACAAGAGGGAAAAAAGGGAAAAAAGAAAAAAGAAAGGAAAAAAGAAAACAAAAGAAAAAAAAAAAGATGTAAATGCCAGCCTGCGCCTGGCAGGCAGAGCCTGCGACTCCCTGCTGTAGGTGGTCTCCCCTGAAGCCCAGTGCACGCTCTGTTCACAACCCTGATGCCAAAAAAGTCTGTAAGCGGGTAGCTCAAACTGAAGAACAAAGTACTATGCAGCTGAAAAGCTAAAATGTCTGATTTCTCATGGTGAAAACATGCATTTCTTTTAGCCCTTTTCACAGCTCGCAAGGCACCAAAGGGACCTTGAGGCTCAGCAGAACATTGGGTTTTGACCAACCGAGATCTAGACCCAAACTAGAAAACTGCGGTTCTTGAAGAGAAGTAATTTTTAATTCCAAATATGGAATTTCAGAACAGTCTCCTTTTCAAAATAGCATATTTTAGTTTAGTTTTAATAAGCACAGGTTTTAATTCAAGACTATTGCAGTATGATCTTTAGGGCTGCACAGCTACACAGAATAAGGAAGACCCTTAATTTTAGCAAATAATCCTGTTTCCTCCCAAACCCTTTGTTTCCAGTTCTGTAACTTGGATGACACTCTAGGGTAACACTAACCTCTCCCAGCTCCATCCACTACCTCCAGCTATCTACTGGGTACATTCTCTCTCCTGGGGAAAAAAAAAAAAAAAAAAAAATCTTTAACCTCAACAAATGCAACTGCTCTAAGCACAACTGTTTCTTGCTACCTTCTAAGATTTTAGGTGGAAAAACTTAAAATTCTGAAAGCAGCATAGTACTACCTCCCTTGTCATTGCTAATGTAATATGGAGCTCTATAATGAAACCCACTGTGTTTATTTTGCACTTATATAAGTTACAGTGAAAACAGAATATAAAAAGAAAAACATATACAATGACAATGCAATTGTTCTAAGTTACAGGCCCATGTTAAATCAGCAAGGGTAACAACTAATTTCATAAATCATTATTCTTACCCAATTACAATTCTTTCATTAATCTTACAGGAAAGCTATATTAGAAAGAGCTCAGAATGTGATTAACCTGGTGAATTTTTCTGACATATTTCAGACTATAAATGCTGAAATACAAAGTGGACATATTGGGGTTATTTCCTAAGAAGCCATTCTAGCTTAAATACAGAAGTTAGAGGAA